GGTCTGCAGCATTTTTCTTGAAATGTATATTGTCTAGGGGAAATGTCTATTTGATGTTACTGCATAGAATTTATTGATTAAATCATGAAGCTAGTTCTTGCTGTTAACTAGTTTTATTTTCTGAAAATTCAGTGTCAAACTCTAGACACATTTGATTGCACTTTTGCAAGAAAATCAGTACTTCCGGTTGTGGTTACACATGTATTGTGATCATAAATTTAACTTCATAAAAGATTTGCTCTGATTTGATTACTGCTGTGAAGTGGTGGGGAAAACCTTTTACTCTTGCTTAGCTTTTAAGTCACTATAGAATGTGAATAAAAGATCATGACAATAATCTACTGTGCATGGAATAAGCGTAAACCCCTGACATCCAAATTGCCATTTAGCTTGAATTCTAGATTTGTGTATCATTTTTATGCTCTTTTAAAAAATATCTCCTTATTTATGGCTTCCTTGGTGGTACAGTTAAATAACCAAGAGTTAGCAAGAGGCAGTTAATCTGATTTACCCAAAGATTTGCCTCAGAAGAAACAGCTGGGAATCTTACAAAACGGTCAGAGTCCTTCAACAGCCTCTGGAGTGTCCTGGTGGAGGTGTGGGGTGCAGCCTAGATGGAGACTAGGTTGCCCAGGCCTGAGCGGGTCCACTATAATGAGCAGACAGCTTGCAATCCACTGGGTGTACACAAGCCACAGCTGCTGGCAGTGATCAGGTAGGCAGAGGTGGGCAATCCACTGGGTGTACACAAGCCACAGCTGCTGGCAGTGATCAGGTAGGCAGAAGGAGGTGGAGTTATGCTTTTGTACTTGGTGGCTGCACTGGATTGGCGCTCCTCAGAAGTCATACCTGGGAGAAGTGGGATGCAGAGAGAGTCTGGGCACTATTGAAGGAAAGAAGAAAGCCCAGAGTGTTCAGTTGCCTGTTGTGAGGGTCTCGGCAAAGGGGTGGCCAGGACAAGTTGGTGGTGTTTGGTTACAGGAAGACTGAGGTCTGGTATGTGGATGAAGAAGAGCCCTACCTGATGTCCTCAACATTGTGCTGACTGGCTGTGCTGCAGGTGAACCCAGCAAGATATCCCTCCATTGCCCCCTATGAGAAAGTGCCTAATCTCGTTACTACAATAGAGCAATACCTAAAGAATTCTATTTATTCTCAAAGAGCAAAGTAAACATGCCCTGTTAGATTCCTTAGGTACTTCTAGCTTAAGTGTGTGCTTAACAACTATTGCTATACAACATTATTGACTGCTTTTAATAAATACCTATTTCTAAAATTTAATGTGATTTGAAAGCTTAAAAATTCTTACACATTGTCTTATTAATGTTATCAGTCATAACATCTGATTGTACATGGCCTTTCCCTTCATTGACATAAGGTGTCTTAAATTTTCTCTCCCTTTGTGGTTTTTGGTTTTTTTGGGGGGTTTTTTTTTTCTTTTCTTTTTTTAGGTGGTGGGGGCTGCTTTCTTTTAAAAAGTCTCAAACACCACTTAACTGGCAGGTTCCTGGAACTGGCAGGTTCCATTTATGGTATGTTGAGCAGAACAAAGCTAAGAACTAAGAAAAAAAATTGTGGAGAAACTGGCATAGTAGCAGTAAATCAGTAGCAGCAGCATTCACAATCGCAAGAAAATGGAAATAGCCCAAATGTCCAACTACAAATGAATGGATTGAGAAATTATGATACATTCATACAATGGAATACTATGCAGCACGCAGAAGCAATGATTTTGTAAATTATTCCCTAACTTGGGAAGGACTGGAGAACATTATGCTGAGTAAACTAACTCAGTCCCACAAGCATAAACATTGTATAAAACCATTATTGTAGAATGAGTATAAGGATCCAAGAGGGATAGGAGAGGTTGGAAGCAGAGGGATAAGGATGTGCAGGGGGATAGGGGTATTAATCATCGGGTTGTGCAATTTGATGGGTAGAGTGGGTGAGAGAAATTGAAAGAATTTGTTCTTGAAAACAATGTATTCAAATTTTATATAAACTACTAAAAAATTTTAAAAATTTAAATAAAAAAAATCTATGCTTAAATCGATTCCATTAGGTTTCCAAGACAGAAAACCTTTACAGGAAAAGACTGCCTCATCTTTTTTTCCTATGCAGTAACTGGTGGATTTGAATTGCTGACCTTATCACTAGCAGCCTTAACGCTTAATGCATTTTACCATCAAACCTCTTTCTGCTCATCTGCATTTCCCAGCCTTCCTTGCATTGCATTAAGTTAGAGCTAGTTCTAATCAATGAGCTGACACAAAGAATTGTGAGATTCTTAACAATTTTTCCCGTGTTGAGCATCATATTTTAAGTGAAAGGAATTGAAAGATTCAAGCCATGAATAGCAATACTTAAGGATCCTTTGAGCAGAATAGTAAATGATCCAAGAAGCATTAAAAGATGATGGAAGGAGTATACAGAGTCACTGTACCAGAAGGAATTGGCAGACACAAGAATTTCATGAAACAACGTATAAGCCTGTGGTGCTGAAGAAATTGAAGCTGCTCTGACATAATTGATAAAAAACCAAGTCTCCAGGAATTGAGGACATATAACAACTGACATATTTCAACAAACAGATGCTGCCCTGGATGTGCTCACCACGTTGTGCCAAGAAATCTGGAGGACAACCACGTGGCCAACTGACTGGAAGAGATCTATACTTGTGACACATTTCAAAGAAAGGTGACCCAACAGAATGTGAAAATTCTCAATATCATTAATTTACATGCAGGCAAGATCATGCTGAAAATTATCCAAAAATGACTGAAGCAGCACATCAGCAGAGAACCGCCAGATGTGCAGGCTGGATTTAGAAGAGGCTGTGGTACTAGGAATTGTCACTGTCAGTTCCCCCTCAACTTGACAGCAAACACCCTGATTGGGGTAAGCATGACAGAAATACACCACTCCAGGAGAGGTTCAGAGTCAATCCAGCTCAATTTTATTGGGACTGCAGTGCACTTATATAAACAGGAAGACTGGATAGGATGGCCTTACAGACGTGGGACATGGGGATTGGTTAGGAGAACCTCAGCCTCCTGCCGACCACTCCCAGCTCAACAGATGTGGCTGCCTTTCCCAGGTAGCAAGCTTTCTCAAGTTGGTACAACTAAACACATGGGAGCTTTCTCTAGCCCGTATTAAAGGCCGTTGGGAGGCTTGCACTGATCCAGAGCTTAGGCGATCTGTCCTGGCCAGAGGTCTTCCCTTCCTACCCAACATTCTGCAACAAGGAATATTATAGCTAATATTAGATGGATCTTAGCTGAAAGCAGAGAGTAGCAAAGGAATGTTTATCTTTGTTTCATTGATTATGCAAAAGCGT